CTAAGGCAACAAGCAAACCATCTGCTTGCTTGATCAGTCCTGTTTGGTTTGTTGAAAACTACTTCAGTTATATAAAAAAAAAATAGCAGGTTTTTACATTAATTTAAATAAAGTTGAGGATAGGAAGAGGTTGCCTCTATTTGATAGACAAGCCATTATAAGGGAAGTCATAGTTCAGGTTCCTTCCAGCTGGTATATTGATTTCCATTGTGTTCTTAAGAGTAGAACACATCAGTCCCTATCCCCAACAGTCTAGTGATTGTTTTTCAGCTATAGATTTCTGGAATTATTTTGTTCACAAAATGACCCAAAAAGGCATATAGAAAATACTTTGGTGGGAAGAAAAGGCTGCGTTTACCCAGTTCCCTTTAGAGGAACTTTCTGATTGGCATTGGGCTGGTTGTTCTTTAATGAGTCCAGGTATAAGATCTACTCTGGGGGCACTGACAGACATAGAAAAAAAACAAAAACCAGTACTTTACCGGAAGAGGCATCGCATCAGTTTGACCCAGTTTCCCAGCGTCTGTATAGCTTGTACGCTTCGGCGGGACTTTCTGGCACTTTTATCTAGTAGCTGATTGATCTAATAGATCAGTGGTTTTCAAACTTTTTTTTTTTCATAGACCACTGGAAAATTTCTGAGGGTCTCGGTGGACCACTTTAATAAACCTTTTTTTGCTCTACACATCAAAGCACACAACTTGTATTATAATATCAGTACTTACCTTTCTAATGTGATGGATGTGCCTGTTTTTTGAGCAGAGTTCTGGGAAGTCAGGTGTAATGTTTGTCAGCATTAGCCTTGGGTCACCTTTCTGCGGACCACTCGAATGGAGCTCGTGGACCAGTGGTGGTCCACAGACCACAGTTTAAGAACTTCTGTATTAGATAAAAGCGCCAAAAAGCCCTACTGAAGCAACGAAATATACAGACTCTGGGGAGCCGCGGTCAAACTGATGCAATGCATCTTCTGGGTATGCGCTGCACTTGGTGTGGGAGTGTTCTGAGCTTAAAGTGCTAGTTTTTTTGGTTTTTTTTCCCTCCCACATCTGTCAGCATCCTGGGTGTTCAAACCCCCATCTCGTACGAAGCAGAACAGACTTAGAAGGGAGTTAACACCAGGTATGGTAGTTTCGGTAGCTCTTCTACTCTGTGAGTTTTCTTTCACGTGAATTGTTAACAATAAGCCAGTTTACAAAACCCTGCTTGCCAGCTGCTTGGGGAATATTATGACCAGTGGAATCAACTTCTACAGACTTCCAACCTTCACTAAAGAGAAAAGGTTTCTAGGACTAGTGATTGAAAAAGAAATAGAAAGTTGAAAAATGTGAATGTGCTTTAACCAATGTTGCAGTGGGTTGATGTGACAGTAGCTGCTGCTCTTGTACTCTGGAGTCTGAAAGTTCAGCTCAATTTAATCTGGCCAGTTCGACTGCAGAGTGAGTGGTTGAGCAGCCAAATTGGCTCCAATGGGTGGAGAGGAGTGATGTTCAGGAGCTTCCTCTTGGCTCTTCTTTCACCAGGCAAGCTTGTCATGTAATCCAGTATTATGCCTCCACAATAGTAGCCCTCATTCAGCCTGTGAAAAGCACCAAGAACACATTTGGAATCTTTGGGATAAGGCATCTTTGGGATAATATGCTATAGAGAAAATGTCATTATAGCCCCTAAGACAGGGCAGGCAATTATTTTGGGCAGAGAGCTGCTTACTGAGTTTTGGCAAGCCATTGAGGGCTGCATGACAGGCAGCCAGTGGCAGATGAATATTAATTTTCTAAATTTGTTAGGGGTCCTGCGGGCCGGATAGAAAGGCCTGGTGGGCTGCATCTGGCCTGTGAGCTGCATTTTGCCCACCCCTGCCTTAAGACTTGGGGACTGACTTCTGTCCTGAAGCAAGAGGTTTTGCATCCTTCTCAAAAAGTTTGCATTTAAAAAAAATATTTACTATTATAATGGAATGTTCTTGTTAACAAAGTCAATTCCTAATCCAGTTTGGGACAAGACTCTTCATTTCTCATTCCTGAAAGGCTGAGTCTAGCTCCAGAGCACTCTGTGGTGCCTTACAACTTTCCTTTTCAGCCCCCGTCTCTTCAAACCCATGTTCAGTGGTTCCCACCCCAGATCTTGGAGGAACAGAAGAACTTGGCTGTTTGTGCAGTGTTTGATTTTGATGAGAGGATTGAGTAGGGAATTAATGTCAGGGTGTGGTAGTTGTTTGTGTAAAAAAAAATTGCCAGTATGTGTGTGACAGTAAGATGGGGAAGAGTTTGGCCATCTGTAAGGATTTCCAAGTGCTCATCAAAAGTGAGAGCATGTGAATGAGTAAGAGATGGCCACATGATCTGTTGATGTAAATTGCTAGAGCAGCATTGGCTTCAACGCAGCAAAGTCACTTTAAACCAACAGTAAATTTGACCTAGAATGTCAAGGAGCATGTATAAAATGGAACAAGGTATCCTGAATATGTGAAGGGGTTGTGTATACGGATGAGACAGAAAAAGATAGAGAAATGGTTCTTGGACCTGATGTCACACATTTGTACAAAGAGAAAAGGATAAAAGATTATATTTTTGAAATTGCCTTCATCTATTCCCAAATGAAATTAAAACAAAATATTCAAAATCAACTTTTTTGTTTGCCTCATACAGATGATTAAGGAGCAAGTTTTGCCGCTTTTACTCTTGTTGAGTAAGGCCACTCTTCAGGGGGATTATTTGGTTAAGTGACTGAATCTAGTCTGATGCTTCAAAAGAAAAACTAAGTGCATTATTCCCCACATGCACCACAACAGCCACATGCTATTTGAGCTTCAGAAAACTGTAACATTGAAATCACACACATCTTTTTCAATGAAATATGGATATAATGAAACTATTCTACTGTGTTAGTGTTTTCTTTGTTTTGTTTTGTTTTTAATCTTATGCTTGGAGTTTTCAGCCATTTTCATTTAAATTGCAATAATGGTTTCACCAATAGTTTTAAATTGCTGCAGCTACGCAAGCCACCTATGGGACATAATGTACTTATAACATTTGGCTTACTACTGTCAAAATGTCTGCTTTTATAAAAATCTTAATTGTTTGTACTGTGTGGAAAAACCCCCAAACAGTCATTTAAGAAATAATGCAAAGGAGGTACAATATAAAGCCATAAGATAACATTATTCTATGCTTTTCTGTTGAACATAAACTCAAGCAAGTAGGAAAGAAAACAAACCCTAGCAAACAAGGGAAGGAGCCTGATTTTTTCACCCTTCTTTGAAAGTTTCTTTGTATACCTGTAGTTTTGCACCATAAATCACGTATTATACATTTTTTACTTAGCATTTATTGCATAACACTGCGATTTGTAACTCTGAAAATGGAGGCTACCTCTTACAATTATGACCCTAAGTGGCTTTTAAAAATTCACTTTTATCTCTTTAAAAATTAATGAATCCTGACAATACTGCTGTTCGTGGTACAAAATACTGAAATGATTAAAAAAAATTGGCAAGTTCCATGCACTAGGTTTTCAAGAGGTGTGTTGTACTTATAAACCACCCTCTTGGTGCTACTGGTATAGAATAGCAGAAACACAATGTTATAGAAATGGGGAGGGAGGGAGAAGAGGTATGCTGCAACAAGCTGAAGTTTTGCAGAGAAAGACTAGTGAAAAGCAGAAGAATCCAGAAGTGCTATTCTTAAGTATCCAGTTTTGTCCAAAAGTCAAAAGTTATTAAATGAAATTCTTCCTAATATATCCAGTTTCAGTGGCCAAATGTACTATCTAAGTGTATCTGGCAAACTGTTCAGCAGGTGATACAGTTAATGTTGGTATTTTAGGTGTCAGTACTGTATTTCTAACTTAACTCCTAGTTGTGAGGAAGGGTGAAATTCACACTTCTTAGTATTTTCTAGATTGTTTAGAGGCAGATGAAAAAAAGACAGCAGGTTATACTATGAAGCAGAAAGCCTGGCAGCTTTACTTCTCTTTCTCATTAACTGAAAATCTAAGTATTTGGACTTGCTAAAAACTACCAGTGGCCCCTTGTGAGATGAGACCTAAATAATCATCATCTCTGTTTCTTCATAGGTCCCAGCCTGTGTGCAGCACTGCTTACTAAGGTTAGCACACTTTTACCCATATACCTTGACTAAAGCCAAGTCTTTACTTTACAAGCTGTTTAATTTAGTATTTGATATTTTTGTTCCCATTGATTTGCCTTTCCCCCTCTCAGACACAGAACAACTTCATTTGTGTATTTATTGTACCAGTAATCAAAGTATCTATAAAAATTGGAAGATTGGGTGGATCCTGAGTGAATGTATTTCATTTGAACAACAATTGCGGCAGGCTGTCTATAGTAGAAATAGGACACTTACTGACCACTCGTCTTCTAGTGCCTTCCACTTTTTGTTTTGACTTTAATTTTGGCATTTCAAGCAGTAGATTCCCTTCTTAAATGCATGTGCAGGGAAGTACATAGGCTGTACTTTGTGGCTGCAGGCACAGAGTTTAGCAAAACGTCATGGATATTGTCCTATTGCTGTATTAGCCCTATTTGCACCAAAGTACTTAAGCATATGTGTAACTTTTAAGTGTACAAATGGTTACTTGATAGGGGTGTGCAAAGCGGACCCTATTCGATTGGGACTTGGATTCCTGCCAAATCGGGGACAGTGATTCCATTTATTGATTCAAATCACTGTTCCTGATTCGATTCAGCCAAATCCAAAGCTGAAGATTTGATGCTAATTCAGAGAATCAGCTATTTGGACACAGACACTGCTTTAAAAGTTTTTTTACATACCTTGAGGTAGCAAGTGTGGCTCGTGTTCACTGTGATGCTGGGGCGCATGGAGCATCCCACAGGAGTGAGGTGGGAGGGGTCCTTCCACATGCTCGGCAGCGAACCTGAAAGTAGACCGGAAGTACTTCTGCTCCACTTCTGGGTCTGCTGCTGAGCACGCTGGGGAGCCCCCTGTGCTTCTGTGGGACACTCCGTGCACCCCAGCATCGCAGCATTGATGAGTTGCCTGCTACCTAGAGGTATGTAGAAAAAATATTTAAAGCTATCTCTACGTCTGAATCTCTCTGAATTGATTCGGAGGGTTCCGATTTGATTCAGAGAGATTAAAGGGTCCTGTAATTCGATCGGATTTGGAGATTTCACCACCAAATCGGGCTGAATCTGCCGAATCAAAAAAGGGACCAAAGCTTTGCACAGCCCTATTACTTGATGCTAAGTTAAAACCAGTACTTAAGAGTTCCATTTGGAACCTTATGGCGGAGAATGGAATCACTTAAGATCCTAGAAGTCTAGTATAAGTGATAAATACAGTTAATCATATTTGAGTGTAAGCCTTCTTGTTCACTCTTAAAGGTAGCCCTGACAAGGCAGTTGAGAATAGTGATAGGATAATTTCACACTTTCACTCTTTGCAAGAACCCTAAAGAATATAGTGTGATACATTGTAGATGTTTTGATATGTTATATATTACATCAGAAAGATCTGCCAGGCTACTGTTACATGTTTCTACCAGTAGGAATGTTTCTGTTCACTAGGAATCTGAACAATGGAATTCAAAGCTTCATAGTGGAAAAAAGAAGGCAAAGCACAAAGGTATGTGTTGATTAGCAAAAGTTGCAAGAGAAAATAAGAAGTAGGTGGTAATAAGTAAATTTGAATCCTGCTTATATTTGGATATTTTCCCTTGAGAAGCATTTATTTTTAAAGAGGCTTGAGAGTGTTTGAATGTTGTATGACACCAGGGCAAGGGACAGAAATTACACATGAACTGGTATAAGTGATCAGAAACCAGTTCAAGTCTGTAACACAGTAGAAGTTCAGTGCACATAAACTGCTTTCAAAACAGCTGAAACTGGTTTATGATAAACCTGGATGGGTATAGTATCAGACTTAAATGATTTAGGTTAAATCAGTTTATTGAACTTCTGTCCCAGATTTCTTCTAGATTCAAGTTAACTCATAGTCCCACAGCATCCCAGGATGCTTTGTACCTCCCCTGCAACCCCCACCTCGCAGATGGGTGGAATAGCGTTGGCCCAAGCTGTCTGCTGCTAAGCTTGCCCCCTTCCCTTATGTCTTCTGGTTGGAGCCACTGCAGGCATAAGACAGCATTTCTGGAATCGAAAGTGAATGTCTGTTTGCTTGCTTATTCAATCTACACAATTTAGACTAACCTCTGAAGACTGAATTGATTCAGCCTCAGGTTTTTTGCCTGCCTGTACTTAGCCTAGTAGTTATAGGTTATGGAAGACCAACAAGTGCCAGTTGAATTACGGTCCAGTGTTACATACTTGTGGTTGTTGCCCAGATGATTACGTATCAAATATATTAAACCATGCATAGTATTACAAACAATATGAAACACACTATGTCTGCATTGCTGAGTGTAGAAAACAAAGGAGCTCTTTTGTTTGGGGGTCTTGTGTTTTTGAACTTTTCTTCCAAGTTTCACTGAATTAGTGAAATTAACTGGCTTGCTAAGCGGCACTACAGAACCGCCTGTTAGCGACTGTTAAAGGAACTCCTACATCTCTTGAGAGAATATTATGCCTTCCAGTAGTTTTGTCTTATGCATTTAAATACAACTTTCACTTCTTGTATCTGAGTCTACCAAATCAGCATGATGGGATATATCACTAAAATGGCAGCTGCTAATGAGACTTCAGCACTATTACAGTTATTTTAGATAACAAAACAGTGATAGATAATTCTTGACTGTTTTAGATTTTAATTTATACTATATATTTATTTAGTTATGCAAAGCATTTTGACTAATCACTGCAGTTTTAATGATCCCTTGGCACTTTCCACACAAATAGGGATGCTAGCTCTAGTGTCCTGGCTAAGTTCCAATTTGGGTAATTACATTCTGCCTACCTAAAGTCTTTTTGCAATTTCAACAGGATATTGTTACTGTTATTTACTTATATAGCAATGCATATGTACTTGGCAGTTTATAAAATACTAGTGCATGCTAAACAAAGAACAAAATCCCTGCTCCAAATAATTTACAGTCTTTGTGCATGAATGCATACAATTCAGAAAACATGAAGTGGCACATGCTCTAACAGGCTTCACAGAACAGGTGGGTTTTCAGAGCTTTTGAAGTAGAAAAGGGAGGGCACTTGGCATACATGGGAGTCTTTTCTACTCTTAAAAGGAGGAGGCATGAAGTCAGATACAAGAGGCAAAAGGGACAAAGGCAGTGTCAGGAGAGTAGTTTAGATAGAGTTGAAGGAGATGAAAGAAAAAAAGTGGGTAGAGTTTTGAAATCCTGTAGAAATGTCATGAGTCATTACTTCCTGGTCTTAATTGTTACTTAATGTTCAATATTAAAAGAAGATATATTGTAGAAATGTCTGTATTTTATTGGTGGCTGAGTGGATTCCTGCTTGTATTATATTTAATTTTGAATTCCCAGCCCCATTTGATTCCCTCCTCGTGTTCCTTTTGTGAAACTAAAGATTGAAAACGCATATGTTGTTTTTTGCTCAAGATGCATATTTACTTAGTTATTTGATCCACAGCTTCACAGTAAAGATCTAGGACAGGGATTTTTACATGTGCATCAACAAGGGGAAAAAAATCCAATGTGGGTGTTGCATGCACGTGAACGGGATCTAGACGATGGCAAATCTACAAATGGAATTTTTTTGCTGGCAGTGAAACCATCTCTCTTTTACCTACAGAGATTGTTTTGTTTTTTTTTAATGATCTACTCTTGAATTATTTTATGCAGATTCCTGTTTTAAAATTCTTGATGAAGGAATAGCTTGTCATTTGTGTTCTTAAAGCAACAAATGGGTGGATCCCTCAGGTCCTGATGTAGAAGAAAGGGAAGAGGCTGATTTAAAAAAAAAAAAAAAAAAGTGATTATTTTTAACATCTGAAGTAGGAAACTGAGCAGGTAAAGCTCTGACCTAACTCTTGCACAACTAATTAATACTGACAAATCAACTGCAATTTGCAGAATGGATTTCTAGAGGAGTTTAGACTAATCCAACTTTCAACTAAATCTCATGCCATTCCCTTTAATAAAGCTTTTCCCTCGTAATCAGAATTATTTTTTCCTCATAATTGGAACCATCCCTACATCCTCCTGCCTCGTCTCTCCGCCAAACAGCCCCAAGTGATTATTTATTCAAGTGGTACTAAACATACAGCCCACAGGCTGAACATAGTGCATGTCATGTATTTATCTTTGGAAAATGTTTTGGAAACGGTTATCATCTAGAAAATTCTTTTCAGTTGCATTGATTTTTTGACAAATGGACATGTTAGTAAAATCATATAAATATCAATACAATTTTTCATTAAAATATTTATTTCCAAAATGAAAAGCATTGTTTTGCCAAATAATATTTTGGACAAATTTGACATGATCATATTTTAATGTTAAATGTGTTTTAATTGCTATCAGTTATATAATTATGTGTTCATTTTTATGATATCTTATTAGAAGTAGTCCATAATATCTTAATTTAAAATGATTAAAATCAACTGTTTAGTACAAGTTGAATCATCTTATTTTTCTAGATCAGCGTCCATTGCTTGTGTTCCAATGACAATGTTTAGTGCTTTGATGTAGAAAATAAGATGCGTGATTTCACTACTAAATAGCAGTTGTCTCTAATGACATCACATTAAAATTAAATTCTATAAATTGTATCTTAAGTCATATTATGACATCTAAGATGCCTGTATGGTAATACAAAGTATAAGGGAAATAGTAAGAACTGGAAGTCCTAGTATGCGTATAAAATTATGATCTAATTAGGATGACTGTGACTTAATGGAATAGTTCACATGACTGGAATATTACATGGATGGGTATAGCTTTTTCTAGAAGGGCAAACAGAAGAAAAGGTGAAAGTGTTGCCGTGTATATTAAAGATACATACTTGTTTTGAAGATAAGCACCTAGAGGATAATAGTGTTACATGACAGCCAGTATGCATTTGGCAAGAGCAACTCGTGTCTCGCCAACATCATTTTATTCTGTGGTGGACCTTGTGGGAGAGGGTGGGGATGTAATATTCCTTGATGTTAGTATGGCTTTTGTAACCATCTTTCATGACATTGTCATAAGTAAG